ATTACAAACAATAACGATGAGACGAAGAATGTCCTCATCACCTTGGGAATCCACAAGACATGCACTTTGTTAATCTTATCGAACGATTACGACGTTGTAGACAAAATTGTCCTCCTATATATAAACTTAAGTAAAAGCAAGTGGATGTGTGAAGGGATAGTGAATAGTGGGATCCTCCTACACATGATGGATATTCTCCTTAATATCTATTCAGTGAATTTACGAGCAAAGAAAGAGATCTGTATTAACATCCTCTGCGTCATCGGCCAGGTGTGTAATTACTGCAGAACGTATGCTCAGTTTCTTCTCACCAATTATGTCGAGATTGTCTCTACCGCCATCTGCATTTATCAGTCCACCGACATACAGCAGTTTAAGAAGGTTAAGCTGATTTACTTTTTTAAGAAGATACTACGGCACAGTTATGAGATGAAGGAGAAGATCTGCCTCCAGCTGTGTCCTCTAATTATGATGGAAATGCACTCCGCTTCGGAAGACAAAGATTTTATTTACTCCTCCTTGTCTCTCTTTGATACCATGTGCTGCTACAAGGTTAACTGCCTACACTTGGAGCGGATGCAGATCATCCCACTCCTCCGCTTCGTCAAATCGCTCAAGGTCGTGGAGCTGTACAAGCGCGCCCACCGGATCGAGGCCACGGTCCGAAAAAACGCACAGCTTCGGTGAAGCGAGGAGGCGGCACAGCGACAGGGAGATAAATCAGCAGGGCAGCGCAGCGAGGGGGATGCTACCCGGGTCTTCTCGCTGGGGCCACGCCCCGGGGACTACTCGAATTTCTTCACCGCCAGGATGACGGGTTGGCTCTGCAGAGGGGTGGAAGCGGGGTAGTGACATAGCGGGGTAGTGACATAGCGGTGTATCGACGTAGCGACGTAGCGGCTCTGCTGTATGGCTACCCCCTCTAGGCTCCTCGCTCTGCGCTCCGCCCGCAGGTACTCAAAGGGGTACGGCTCCTTCCCATTCAGCCAGCGCGCCTTCCTGATGAAGTGTTCAATCTGGTGGGGTGGAAAGGAAAAAGGGGGGTATCCATGTGTGCGCATGGAAGTGAGGGAATCTCCGTGTGGGTTCAGATCGGTGTAGAAGCCATCATCCGGAGGGGGACACATCAACTGGCATACACAGACATATACACATAACACAACGTCAGACGGTGGATGATCGGAACACTCCTGTGAAGACCGCTTTTCCCCCTCTCGCCTTACATCTCTAATGTCACAGATATACTTAAAGAGGGTCCACATGGCGACAATATATGCAGACACAAAGGTGAATGGAACGAAAAAGAGAAAAAACAGCTCCGATTTGGTGAAGTGCTGCAAGGCATCATCCAAAGTCACCTTCCCCTGTGCCTTCCAAATGTTTTTTCTGATAATCCCATCCTTTAGAGGACTAACTTTAATACGTTTTAACAGTCTCACACTGGTTTTGAAAACGCTGCTTTTTTTGAAGCGACACGCATAGACCAATCTGATCATTTTTTCGTTCTTCATGCAGGGAAGAAGCGGTTCAAGAAGAAGTGAGACCTCTCAGAAGGAGGACCGCCTGATGTGCCTATGCATTGTGTGTCCTATGTCGAGCTTGCAAAGGGGTGGTGGTAGTAGTAGTAACAACATCGCAGAGAGGCAGGTCACGAAGAGGAAAAAATGACCCGCATGAGGGGGGGCGGGGGTGCTCTCTCCTTCCCTAACATGGGGGCGACGCGGGATGCAGCCTCCAACTACGACTCGTGCAGGCCCTGAAATATTTTTCGCCTTAACAGGTGATCTGGAAAAAAAGAGGTAAAAAGTAAAATAAAAATAAAAAGGAGAAAAAAAGGAGAAAAAAAGGAGAAAAAAAGGAAAAAAAAGGAAAAGAAATTATATAGCCGTACATACGTGCTTGAAGCGTGTTCTGCCTCTTCTGCTTTTTTTTTTTTTGTGGCGCGTCGCCATTTCGCCTAGGGGACTTTACTGCCCCTCGCTGCTTACCTTTAAGATCAATTTTTCTGTTGGGTGTGGTATTCTTTGTTTCTTCGCAAATGACATCCAGGCTTTTCCCCTGCGTGTTTGGAAACAAGGGAGGAGGGGGTGGTGGTGAATCCAAACATGAAGAAGCGTTCCAGCGTCGGGGGGGAGGAGAAGCCTATGCACGGTAGGAGGTAGCACCGTGGGAGGCAGCACGGTACGCACCCCGCCGCATATCCACGCATATCCGCCGCTTACCCTTTTGAGTCGCTCATGGACAGCGAGAATCTTCTCAAACATCTTCATCCACGTATTAATGCTGTACGTATTTACAATTTTTTTCGTTATGGGGCAGAAGATGTTTGCCGTCATATCTTTGTTTTCGATTATCTGGTTGTTGTAGATGTCCAGGGTGATTCCGTTCCTGCAGGAGCTCCTGGAGTAGAACTGCACAGGGGTCCAAATGGGGAGTCGCCCGTGGAGTGGAGTAGCGGCGCGCCGGTGTGTACACATTGGTACATATGAACAGGTATATGTGTATGCACATGTATATATATACATATATATTTTTTTTTTCCTCCGCTTGCCTCGAAAAACCCGTACAGCAACTTCGACACGTCGTCTTCGTTTTTGCGGGGAGTGTCCAGTTTGCTCCGGATGTCGCTGTGGGGGAGGGACGCGCAGTTATGAATGTGAGGAAGTGTCACTTGGGCAGCCACACCCATGGCGTAACGCATCGTAACGCAGCGCAACCTTCTGTGGAACCATCTGCGGGACGTGCTGCGCGCTCTCTCATCTTTCCGTTCTCCGCCACGGTCGTTACCCCGCGTCTGTGTAAAAGGGCATTTCCACGTCATCCTGGAGGAAGAAGTCTGCGGGGGGATAGGGAAAAACCATCATGGGGTTCCTACTCCGGGCTGTCAACCGAGGAATGAGCTTCGAGGCGTTGCATCCCACTTACACTCGCTGTTTATTTCGAAGGAGGACGCGTTTTCCCGTTCTATGGACCTGTTAAGTGGAGGTGCGCACATGTGCACGTGTTTCTGTTTCTGTTTGTAGGTATGCATATATATCTGCACGTGATAAGGCGCACGGCGAAGATGTTTCCCACCATGCGCAAGCCGCAGGTGGCCTCCCATTTCGCCCTTACTTGTATGGAGGAAGCAGGGGGGTCTCCAGATTCTGTAGAAAGTAATATGTGAGCAGAAATAGGGCATACGAGCTGAAGGTGCCTTGGGATCTGTTTTAGGGGGAGAGGGAGAAAGAGGTGACCATGCGGCACTTTGTGTGTGCGAACGAGATGTGCACGGTGATGTTATGTATGAGTGTCATATGAACGATGGAGATATGCACTATGGAGGCCTGCAACATGTCCGTCGCAGAAACGCGGCAGGCACGACCGGACGTGCCTCTTCCCACCTGTTGTTAATGTTCTTCTGCTTGGCCCAGTACTTAATCACGCGGTTTATAATCGTGACGCGCTCATCCGTGTTGCAGAGAGACGAGACCAGCTTCGTATTCACAATCGCAACGGTGTTGTTTATGCTGATGTCGCAAATGTTATTCTGTTCCCTGTAAATCTTAGCTATCGGAACAGACGCCTTGATGATATTCACCGTCAGCGAAGGGTAAATCAGATTTATGGCCCTTTTAATGACCTTCAAAATGTACAGGTAGCTGTTCTTGTCTTCGCAGTTCTCCACAACTATGCAGCAGTCGATGTCTGAGTTTTTTATCCTTCCGGTGGAGGCAGGGAAGAAAATATATACATGTGTATAGATGTATGTATATATGTATATGCGTATATGTCTATAAGTGCATATATATTCCCAAATGTATGCAGTTCAGTTCTGCCTGACCCGTTCAGGCGAAAATGTGTTTCTTTTTTTTTTTTTTATCCTAAGTGTCGTTTTAGCTAGCTGACTAGTTATCCACCCCACATGCACACAAACGGATACTTCTACATACATTTCCCGTATTCATATTGTTTGGGACTGCATACCATATATGATTTTCGCAGGAGCCAATGAAGTAAATTTTCCCCTTCAGGTTGGGCATAATAGCACTTTTTAGCAGAAAATAAATTTCCTCTTTTCTCTTATCGATGAAGGAATCCGCGGTTAGCTTTTTGTGGGTGTCTAAAATTTCTTTTTTCAGGTTCTCTCGGTTTATGAACTGGTCGGTGAGGACGATTTGGTTATGTTTGGGTTGTGGTCCGCTTTGAAGTGACCTGAATGGCCTGCCACTGGGAGGGAAGCGGCGACTGCCGGGTGAGAAGCACCACCTGGAGAGTATGCTATGCCAAGCATTCTGCTCCCTTTTGGAGGAATACCCGCCGCTGCGTGAAACATGGTTAGAAGACACACGCAACGGTTTCTCACGCAGCCGTTTTTCACGAAACCGTTTCGTGGTGGGGGGGTTGGTCCTCCCCCTCTCTTCCACATTGACTCCGACGTTATGGTACCAATTTGGGTCTTTCCCATTCGAAGGCGACTCGCAATGCGGATGCTCTGCACCCTGCCCTGCCTCATCGAAAGAAGGCACTTCTTCTCTGGCTACACTCTTCCGCAGATGGTAACAAGAGAACTTCTTCCCCTCCACTTTAGAAAAGAGTGCACTCTTCCAATGATACCTTCCTTTTAAATGTACATTTGAGTGGATACCTCGAAGGAAGAGTTCCATTTTTTTTTTTTTAATAAAAAGGGGACAGTACGAGTACCTCCTCCCTTTTACTTTTCCTTATTGCTATTCATTTTGTGGCTGTGGAGGGATGTCCCAGGAACGAACCGGGTGTATCTCTACATCGCATGCCGCGCAGGGGCGCATCCGTTTGCAGTCACATTTTACACCCATACGAAGGTACGTTTGACATGTGCTGACTCTTCGTATACGCTTGACGGTGTTAGAGGTGCCCCCCTTTTTTCCGCTTTGCTTTAGCTGAAGCCGCATGGAGCGGTGGAGAGCGCCCCGATTCGTTGCCGTGGAGAGGCGAAGTTGCTTGATACGGGCATGCGAAGCGACATTAGCGTGGGGAGTCGAAGGAGGTAAAGAAAATAAAATCGCACTGCTGTGGCATACCCATTTGCAGTCACAATCGCCGTTGCGGTTAGGTGAAAAAAAAAAAAAAAAAAAAAACGTGGAGGAATTCCCCCTCGATGTTGAAGCTGGCCCAACGGTAGCAAACTCGCAAAAGTGGTTTGCGGCGCACCTGCGTACATATGATCTGCGCGTCAAGTGTGGGTAGAGAGCACGTGGAAAGTTGTCCCTATGGGAGGCCACTTTTTGAGGCGAAGGGGGGGTAGCCCCCCGTTGCACTTAACGTGGTGACGTCGATTGACTCCTATTCACTGCTATTCACTCCTATTGACTCCTATTCACTTCTATTCACTCCTATTGACTCCTATTCACACTTCTTATCCACCCCTATTGCCGCTCCCCGCCTGGCGCTGGATCTCGTCCAAGTCGCTCTTGGGGACCTCCTCATACCGAGCGAACTCCATGGTGTAGGTACCCTGGCCCTGTGTAATGGAGCGAATCTCATTGATATAATTGAACATATGCTTTAGGGGAATGTCGGCATAAATATGAACGGCGTTCATGTGGTTAACGATGTTGGTTACTAATCCTTTCCGCTTGGTGATGCTGGTGAGGATGCTGCTCTGATGTTCATAGTGTGAAATTATTTCCACAACCATAATGGGTTCCAGAAGGACAGGAACAAAGTTCTGATAGTTTTCTCTAATCAGATGAATGGTGGCTCTTTTAAATGCCAAATCGTTGCTATCCACTTCGTGAATCTTCCCTCCAATTAATCTCATTTTCATGTTAATAATTTCTGAACTGTTCAGGTAACCTTTTTCCACTTGTTCTTTAAAGGCTTTCTCAATTGACAGAATGAAAATTTTTGGGAGATCATTTCCCACCACTTCATTGACAAAGGAGCAGTAACTTGTCTCATTGTAATCATCAGACACCGTTTCAAAAATCGCATGAACATGTGCATACAGTCCTGCACCTCCCTTCTGCTTCTTATATGTGTACGTACATTCATACGGCTTGGTAATGGTCTCTTTGAAGTTTATTTTGGGATTCTTCAGCTGGACCCCTATGCCGTATTCCCTTTTTAGCCTCTCTTTGTAGATTTCCAATTGTAGTTCCCCTATTCCTTCGAATAAAATTTCCTTTGTTTGCTCATCCGTTTTGACGTGAAATGTTGGGTCTTCCCTGACGAACTTGTTTAATGCCTTGGTCAGCTTAGTCATGTCTCCTTTCTTCTCGATCTGCACTGCCACGGATAGGACTGGCTTGGGCACATGTATATTTAGGAGGTGCAGATTGGACGTGACTCCATTCGTGTAGGTCGTCCCTGTGCATCCGCTAATCCCATTAATTGCAACGATATCCCCTGCATGCGCTTCGCTCACTTCTTGGGCCATATTCGAGTGCATTTTTAAAATCTTCTTTACCACTTCTCTTCTGCTCGTTAGCATGTTCATTATGTTGTCCTTTTTTTTGATCTTCCCCTGGTAAATGCGGAAGTAGCTCATTTGGCCGTGCATCGCGTCCTCCTGTATTTTGAACAGAAAGCCCACCATGGGCAGCGTGCTGTCGCACTGTAGCTCGACACGCCTTCGCCCTTTGCCCTGCGCGGGGGCGCAGTTTGCTGCATTGGCTGCAGTGGCGGTACTGGCTGCAGTGCCGGCACTGGCTTCGCTCCCCCCTGTGTGCGCGCCCCCCTCGTAGACGTAGCCGTAGCTGCCCACCTCCCGGGGGGAGGGCAGAAAGCTGCACACGTAGTTGAGCAGAATCTGGACGCCCACGTTGTTCTTGGCGCTTCCCAGACAGATGGGAACGATGGCATTCTTGATGGTGCACCTGCGTATGGCGCGAATGATCTCTTCCGCCCTTATGTCGTTAACTTCCTGGTTTAGAAACACATCAGCAAATTCGTCATCCACATCAGCTAGCTTTTCGAACATACGGGTTCTAAGCATCTCCATCACTTCGTGGGAGAAGGATGGATCGTGTATACTCACCTCAGCATCGTTCACTTCCTCCACGGTGATCCCATTTAGACCCTTAAATAAGTAGCACTTTCTCAACACAAGGTCGTATACTCCTTTAAACCTCTGCTCAATCCCAATTGGCATCTGCAAAAGGAGAGTATTCAAATTTAGCTTCTTCTCGATGGTATTCATGGTCCTTTCAACATTTGCACCATCTCTGTCGAGCTTGTTTATGAATAATATCCTGGGGATGAAGTAGCGATTCATTTGTCTGTTCACTGTTAATGTCTGGCTTTGCACTCCAGATACTCCGCAAATAACAAGAACCGCTGCATCTAAGACTCGGAGAGATCTTTCCACTTCGATGGTGAAGTCGACATGTCCAGGTGTGTCGATTATGTTTATGGTAAACTTCTTATCGTTAAAATGCCAGTTACAATTCGTTGCTGCTGACTGGATGGTTATTCCTTTTTCTCTTTCTAGATCCATTGAATCCATTGTTGCTCCTACTCCATCACTTCCTCTCACCTCATGTATGCTTTTTATTTTCCCTGTGTAGTACAGAATCCTCTCTGTTAGAGTCGTTTTTCCTGCATCTATATGTGCACTGATTCCGATGTTTCGCAAGTTGTCCACACAGATGGAGGAGAAGGTTCTGTTTCTCCCTGCACTGTTCAGGTAGAGAAAGAGTTTTTTCCCTTTTGGCAACCTTTTCGCTAGCACAGAGGTGTGCCTCTTCAGCGCGGGCGAGCCGTATGATACTATCATCGTCCTTGTGAGGTGGACCAGGTGAGCCTCTAACCCTTCAGCGGGACCCAACTGCTAGGAGCGTTACCCTCCCCAGGTGAAGGTATATACTGCCCCACATCCCCGATTTGCTACGTCCCTTTGTAGGATTCCCAGCCCAGGGAAAATATCACATCGACAACACTGGTGCGATCACCTGACGTGAAATTTCGGTCCAGTAGAACGAATCCTGGGCATTGGCAAAATGACTGGAGGTTATACTTCCATTTGAAGTGTTTTATATGACGGGTGGAAAAGGGTTCACCGTGAAGCTTATCGGCTGGTTGGCGGTTCACCGGGGTTCCCGAACGGGGCCCTGCAAAGATGACAGCGCCATACGATATCGTCCCACGCGGCATAGCACCAAACGTAGCACCCCAGCGAGGGAAAAAAATCGCTGCACCATCAGCTCAAGCAGTAAACGGAAAAATTGGAGCAAACGCGGGGCGAAGGGGGAAAGCACATCTTCGCGCAAAAAGAAGCTGTTGCGCAAAGAGTAGCTGTCGCGCCATTTTTCCAATTCGTCAAAGAAACATTCCTACAACTGATCACCCCATTTGTGAGAATTTCCTCCGAAGGAAGGAAGCACAGAGGAAGCACAAAACACCATGGACTATGAGCTGTACTTAGTCTCAAACATCCTGGGTAATTTCCCTGGATACATTTTTTGGGAGAGCGGCGGCAAGCGCTCTGCTGGTGGTTTAGCTTCATAGCTGCAAAGAAGGGAATTTGCACGAAATGCTTCTGATTGCTCGCAGCGGGCGCAGCGACTGAGAGGAGGTCCATCCGAGTGTCCCGCCCATCTGAGTGTACCGCCCGTCCTATCATTCCACCCCCCTGCAGGCATTTCCATAGCCATTTTGATTTTCATTTTTCACTATTTATATGCGGATGAGGGGAAGGAGTTGCCCTGAGAACAACGCCCCCATGTTAGCACATCCGAAGCGGGCGCAAAAGGGAATAGTCGCACAGTCGCATAGAAGTACAGACACGCCGACATGCTGGCAGACACGCTCGCAGACGCACTTGCAAGTCGTCTCCGTTGTGGCGCCCGAGCATGCTCCGGAATGTTCTCCACCACTTCCCCCAGCTAGCCATTCCAAAGTGGAATTTTTATTTTTTATTTTATTTTTTTTTTAATTTTTTTTTTAATTTTTTTTTTCTGAACAGGTCAGGTGAAAATTTCCAAAAGAACATAATGTGAAAGATCGCCCGGTATGCCATTAAGGAGCACTTTCATTTGCCCCACTTTTCCACGTTAGAGTAGCACCCCAGAAGAAATAAAATGAAAGACAGCGAATTCGTTGGAGGAAAGCTAAAACTGAAGGATTCGAAAATTAAAAAAGGCAGACACTCCAAAGAGTCCAAGTACGCAGCTGGACGGGATGGCAAAAAAAAAAAAAAAATCAGGGAAGACAAAACGGATAGGAGTAATTACGATGAAGAAAATGGGACAATGTACAATGACCAAGGGTATGGCCAGGGGAAGGACTATGGCATGAGTGCAGATGGAAGAACAAGTGTACGTGAAATTGAAAGGGAGACTGGGAAGGATGGCACGGAAAAACTAGCCGATGAAACAAAATTGAAGGAAGTTATGCAACTGAATTTAACCGAGGCGGAAAAAGCCTATCAGCTGGTATTAAAGAAAAGGGAGAAGCAACGAATTGAAAGAATTTTGAAGGAGAGTTACCGTGAGAGACTGCAGAAGTTTAATGACAACTTAGCTTCTCTCAGCGAGCACTTCGACATTCCGAAGGTTGGCCCTGGCTAGGCCCCCGCAGGGGAGGAGTACACACGCAAAAATGTATGCCTTCGTGTGCTATTGCAAGAAGGCACGTAATTTTGGCGCTATCCAGATGGCCTTTCTTTATCGGAGAGGAAGCAGGGCCTCCCCGCCCCTCCAACATGGAAGTTACGTCTATATGGTCAATTTTACAAAAAAAAAAAAAACAGAAAAAACCTTTTTTAGTAACACGATGGTGTTGCACTTTTGTAACCCTCCCACACACACACCGAGCAGGGATAACACTTACAATTTTGAAGGTTCTCCGTTTCGAAAATGAAAGCTCTTTCTGGTGGGTTTCTGTGCAGAGGGATGTAAGACAGGGGGAGGATGGACTCCTCTTGCGCCATGGTAGGGGAAGACACTTCATCCAAATTGTATGGGCAATTGAAGCGGGGGGTGCGCCACTTGGGGTTTCGTCAAGAGGTGGTAAAGCGGTGGTAAAGCGGTGGCAAAGTGGTGGCAAAGCGGTGATAAAGCGTTGACAAAGCGGTGATAAAGCGTTGACAAAGCGGTGATAAAGCGTTGACAAAGCGGTGTTATCATTGTTGACCGAGTTAGCACTGTTGAAGCGGATGAACTGGCTTTTTGCTCCGTCTAAAGTTTCGTGCGTGTTTCTGTATGTGTCTATTCGAGGATGTAGACAGCCACACGGATGATCCACACAGTGACACGTATTTGATTAGTCATCTGCGAGAAGGAGGAGAGAGGGGTTTCTCGACACACAGCAGGGATTAGCTATGTGTGCCTCTGTCCAACGGTTACAGAAGCCATCACCCCTATTGTTGTTCCACTCATGAGGGCAATCGTTTGACGTAGAAAAATGGTGCATGCGCTTTGGTTATCAGTTGTGATGGAGGTTAGAGGAACCCCCCACTTATTTGTCTCTTGTTGGAAGGCGGGCAGGACGGCGGGCAGGACGGCGGGCAGTACCATGAGCTACTTCCTATCCCTGGCTGGTCTCCTTTCATGAGCTCTTTAACAAACCTTTTCAAATCGCTAAGTTCAAATTGGGTGAAAACTTTCCACCTTATTTTGGTTCCAACGCGGTGCATTTCGAACTGCGTGTCTTCCTTTGGTCCATGACAGCTGATTTTCTTCTCTGTGTAGTAATGTATGGAAGGGGGTAGACGAAGAAGGTGCGCTACCGACTTGGTCACTCAGTCAAGTTGGGCTCTTCCCTGACGTAGGCATCCATGAGGCCCTACATGCAGCGCTCCAAGTGCCGCCTGCTCCCCTTTGACGCCTCGGAAGACTGGGGCTGGTAACCGCGTCATAGAGGGGGGAAGTACTTCCAAACGTTTTGTTGGCCCTAGTTATGTCGTCAGCGGTTTGGTCAGCGGTTTGGTCAGCCGTTTTGTTATCCGTTTGGTCCCCCCTTTCGATTGCGAACCCTCCTTTCCATCTCTTCTTCCTTCCTGTTCTTCTCTCCTTTTGCTATTCACTGGTGCACCTTCTGTTTTTCGTCATTCGTCGCGGCAGCATCCATGGCGACCTCCCCCCATGGGAGGTTCCAATGGGGGTAGCTATACAATTGGTCCTACAGGATAGGCTGCTCGGGGAGCTGTTCCCCTCGCGACTGCCACATCTTTTGTTGAGAGAGAGCTCCTTCGAATCACTGTCTCGTTCGGAATGGGACCCATTTTTCGGTCTTCTCACTTGAGACACTTCCCTAAAGAATCGTACAAATTGAATGACATTGTCGAGTCGGTCCTTTCTCCATTTTGCTCGCCTTCCCTTCCTCATCACATTTCTTCCGCATAAGCGGACGACTGAGTAGTGCTCATGCATTCGTCTTCTCTGAGTTAACGAGTTGTCTGTGTTTATGTTCCCTCGCATCATCTGTAGGGACGTTTGAAGTGGGCTCACGCATCTTCCTTCTCTCCACGAAAGGGGGGGGTACTCATATGGATAAGGATCAATTGGTTGCATCGGCCGATAGACCATTTCGCTTGCCCCTCGCTGAGCTTCATCCAGGTGTATTATCTTCCGTCCTTGAAATAGAAGCAATTGCTGGACTTCCTCCAAACAGTGGCTATTACTCACCAAAGTGAAGTTTTTTTCTCTTTTTGTGATTTTCTCGTGTGTGCCTTCTTCATCCCTCCATGTACACATCTGCCTACGTAGGTTCCTTATTATGGATGCGTACACTTTGTTCCTTTTGATCCGTTTGATTATGCTAGCGGCGTCTCCGCGCGTGCGTTTGGTGCGGAGTCTGCTCCAGCATTCGCTCCACGGTTTGCTCCTGCCTTTGGTCCTCCTTCCCCGTCCGCTCTCACCTGTGCCTGGGAATCCATATGTGTGCATGCATTCCATTTGCGCGAAATCCTCCCCCGCGCGACGATATGGAATTTTATCTTTTCTTTTTGACTGCTTGGCTTCTTCTCTTTCGGTGTGCAGCTCGGATTGTTCGGGGACTCCTTCTACGAAGTGGTCGCATTTTGGGGGTACTCCTTCTAAGAGAACACTTTCTCCTGCTTCCACTTCCCCCTTCACAACTTCCCTTTCGACTTCTTTCAATTTTTCACGGTGCGAATGTTTCTCCTCATCTCCCTTCACGCTGTCATGGTGACCCCCTCTGGCAGCTCTTTGGGGGTTCGAGATTTTTTCCTGCCCTATGTAGAAGTGGCGTCCACCGTTAGAATCAATCTCAGAATGAATATATGGACATGACTCCTTGGCCTCATTCTCCTCGTACGGGTTGTTTATCCCTTTTACTAACTTCCCTTCCTTCTCTTCGCCACGCTGACGACAATTACGCGCCTCTTTCTTAATTAGGATCCATATGAGCTCCTTCCAATTTGGACATGCCTTCCCTTTCAATGTTGACGGGAGAGGCACCTCGCCGGTAGGGTCGCATCTTCCTCTGGTGTAACAACACGGGATTACTTTCTCCCTTCGAGGGTGGCTTAACAGTTTGTGGAGGTACTCACAGTTCTTCTGGTAGTACGGCTGGTAGCTACCGACGCTAGTCATCCCTCGACCCGTGTACGCGTAGCAGGTGGAGCCACTGCCCGAGGCGTAACCAGAGGTGCAGCCATAGGAATAACTACTGACGTTGCAGCAGGCAATTCTATTAACACCGCCAGTGGCGGTACCTCTGGAAATGCCATTGCTTCCACTCCCCTTGTCGTCTTCATCACCCTTCTTCATGTCCTTCACATTGCAATACTTTTCCTGTGCTTCCTCTTCCTCCTCTGCGTCACTCGCGTTGCTTTTGGTGTGTGCGTCGTCCTGACATTCACCTTCTCCCTTAGGATGGCGGCCCTCCGAAACCAGGTCACCCGTTAAAGGCACCATTCGGTTGTTCATTAGGTTCTCCACGGGGGGGACAAGTGGGTGATGTATAGCTCCTTGATCGGAGCGTGGAAACGGAGCGGATTCAATCGATTCAATCGATTCAATCGATTCAATCGATTCCATCGCTTCATTCGCTTCGTTCGCTTGTTCCACGTCTTTCGCTTCTCCCACTTCTTTCGCCTCATTGGCTTCCCCATCGAGGTAGCCCTTCAGGAGCTCCCGCCCATCAGGCGAACAGCCTGACGCACCCCCATACCCGCTTCGATCTGCGAATTGAAGGGAGGTGCAAATGTTTGCGGCGCGTGAAGAGGGTCACACTGGAGGCTACTACGTTGTTGAGTTGTGCGTGTCTGGTGGTGGTGGTCAAACCGGACCGGCGGTGCCTGGGGGGGGGGAAGGAGGGGTGAAGCACTCCTTCTATCTCTGCTGCTACCTCCGCTGCTACCTCCGCTGCTACCTCCGCTGCTACCTCTGCTCCATCCCAACGCATGCATACGTACATACAGAGGTGAACCCGTGCGTGCAATCTAGGGAGGTACTTCAAACTGGCCATTGCCCGTGTCTATATCAAAGCCATTCTTGTGTTAGGCAAATCATGTTTGAAGCGCTCCAATGGCACTAACATGTGGTTGCGTAATTCGGATTAGCCATGCCTACGTGGATGCTGCTGTGGGTCTCTGCCTGTGTGGGAAGTTGCTCCCTCTCCGAGATATGATCGGCAGGTGAGGCGTCCGCTTCGCAGGTGAAGCGGGTGCTGGGACCACAACTGAAGGCGCCACTGGCACGGAAGCTAAATGGGTTGCCGGTGGATGCATTGCCGGTGAATGTGTTACTGCCGAATGTGTTACCGGCGAATGCGTTGCTGGGTCCCCAACTGACTGCACTACTGGGACTGCTACTCGGGTTGATACCGGGGCAACTGCTGACGGTGGTGTTATGTTCGATGCCGACGCCGCTGCTAACGGTGCTGCTATGTGCGATGCCGCCGCTAACACCGCTAACAGCGCTAACACCGCTAACAGCGCTAACACCGCTAACGCCACTGCTAGCCTCCCCCCCCGCGGAAGAACCATCCGGGGGAAGAAACTTACGGATAGGAGTCCTCCGTGTGGCAGGTCTCTCCGCCCTCTTCACCGCATAGCGGGAAGCAAATTCTTCCATAAAAGTGCAGTAGCCTTTTACGTATATCCGATGTTCAGTCAAGTTCACCCCCACAGGCATGTAACTCAGAGAGTGATTCTTGTGTGAACAACAAATGAAACAGAAATCATATCCGTTACTCAGATTATTACACGTGTCTCGATAGTTTCCTTGAGTCACTACAGTGCTCATTCGAATGTTTGATCCAAATTCAAGAGAGATTTTGACAGCGTATTCAAAGACACCTAGTGCGTACATATAATGGTACAGCTCACTTACCTTCATAAATCGGACTTTGCCATAATCAAGACCTTCTCTCATCAGAAGTGATGTCGTCTTGGATGCATCCTTATAATGCAGTTCGCGGATTTCTTTTAATATGAGCTTTCTACCGATGTCTCCCAGAGGTCTGTTGAAATTAGAAGACCAGATTTTATTAACATTGTAGTATACGTTGTCGCATTTTCGGAGGAGGTTTCTGTTTTGGGGGCCATCTTTTGATTCCTTTCCCATCCGTTGTGTGTCTTCCTCCCTGCTTCGGTCCGTTTTTTTGTTAAAAGACTCTCTCTGACATTCGTCTCTCGCGTCGTTCCCGTCTATGTGGTCATCCCGTCGACTGTCACTCGTCTCGTCATTTTGTTCGCCATGCGTCTGCTCCTGCTGCGTCCGGTCCTCCTGCTGCTTCTGCCCCTGCTGCTTCTGCCCCTGCTGCTTCTGCTCCTGCTGCTTCTGCCCCTGCTGCTCCTGCCCCTGCTGCTCCTGCCCCTGCTGCTCCTCCTCCTCTTCCTCCCCTTCCTCCATCGTCTTCCCCCTTAAAAACTCGACATAATCGATGAAGCAATTAACGTTATGATGAATGTCGCAGGAACACCACAACATGTCTCTGCCTTCGTCCCCAGTTGTCCCTACCCCCTCCCTCCTAGCACCGTTCTGGCTGTTAAGTAGGTCAGTCAAGGAGTAAGCACAGAAGGGGGTCTCCTTAATCCGACGTGATTCTATCTCCAGGTCAAAACAAATGCCTCCTTTTTTTACAATACCTCCGAAAATCTTATTTTTCCTTTTTACCCTCGATTTTCTGGATCGCTTTTTTGTTCCTTTTTTCTCCATCACAGGTTGGTAGTAATTGCTACTTTCGCACGTTCGATTTTCCTCATAGTTTAGGTTCCCACTGTGGGGGATGTCACCATTCGTGACGTTGGCTTCTTCTGCATTTTCTCCACACACACCCTTCATCAGTACCATTTGTTCGTCTCGGCGAGGGCGATCTTCGATGGCAGGGTGCAGCTTCCCAAAAGCAGTGTTAAGCGGCTTGGAACGGCTACGTCTGAAAGGACGGATGACGCTCATCCTTGTGGGGGGCACTCCCGGGGTGCCAACGCGAAGTTGGAAGAGGTAGAGGTGAAGGCGGCGGGGAACACTATCTCGACCGCAGCGGATGACGTGTGTGGCGATGCGAGGTACACCAATGCGAGGTACACCAATGCGAGGTGTACCGATATCTCGCGTGCCAACACGTGGTTTAACCATACGAGGTCTGAGGACAAACGGAAGAACACTAAGCAGCTTCGTTTTGGCCGCTTCGACCATGCGGGGGGAAGCCACTCTAGGGATGGCAGGCCACCGATTGGTGATGCCAGTGTTGACCTCGCCGCTGCTCTGTAGAGATGGCTTCTGCGATGGGGCACCGCCGCCGGGGTAGACACTCCGATGGGGATCCCACGTCTGGACAGACTTCACCTGTGGTAAGGTCGTGGAGTTGCACTTCTCGATGGAAACTTTCGTTGAGCTGCAATTAGTGCGGGGGAAGCCGTCGTAATTGCCGCCAATAGGGATGACGCTTGTGCATCCCGTGTTGCACGCCATGTCACCTGTACATCCTATGCTTCTCACACCGTTGGTGCAGCTCGCCCCGTTGTTGCTCTGCAGCTTCATGGCCATCAGCTTCATCACCCTCTCACGTATCGTGTCGACGCAGGAATCATCTTGTAGGTTGATATTCCCCCTGGAGAAGGCACTCCCTGGTAGCATCTCCTCATTTAGGACACTGGTCGTAGTGCTGCTCCTAGTGTCCTTTCCATAGTCCCCTCTGGCGACATGGGAAAATCCCTTCGTCCTCACCACGCTAAGATTTGTGGAGTAATTCCCACTGCCAAACTCTTGATCACCGTTTAAGTATCCCCCCCTTAGATGCACATAATTATTTTCTGCTCCAACAGATTCATTGGCATAGCTATATGACGCATCATCATGTCTTCCTTTCACCATCGCATCGGTGACACCATCATAGTGATGACTGCTTCGCTGCTTTAACGTTAGCAAGTCGTAATTGTAGCTTCCGATCTGGTTCATGCCTCCATTTTGGGGGCACAATCCATTTGACGCATCTACATCTACCTGCATGGAACACGAATCGTTGATCCCATTGATTGTCCTACACGAGTTAGAACCCACGAATATAGGTTCGTTTCTGAGGAAAGTCCCACCATTTCCTGAGCCGCTGTTCTCAGGTGATATGACTCTCATACCGACAGACCTCGGCAAACTAACGCACTTGTTGGACGCTTCAACGAACTCATGAGAGCGATTGATGGGGTTCTTTCCTTTCATCATCATCAGTGGAGGACCACCCAAAGGATGATTTGCATCTCCAGACATGTCGTTCTGGATAAATCGGGGATATACCACTGAGCAGTGATTGCTGTGCATTCTTTCCACCATTAGGTCCCTTCCATACGGACTACTACATGTGTTGTTTCGTGAAAATGGGTCCTGATTTTGCAAATCGGTAGTAGAACCTGCTGCTATGGGACTGCCAACAGGACTAACATCGTGGAGGCTCCCCCCCATGGATGGGCTTCTCCCTACGGATGCCTCACAGCTGTCGGAGCAGGCCGACAAGACGCGATTCCCTGCATTGTACGCATCTTCGAAAGGATCCATAGTTACACTGTGGAGGCTGAAATAAGAGACGTTGCCCTTATTAAATAGATCCTCCTGATGTAGCAAATGGATCTCCTCCTTCTGCTTGTTCTCCTCGTTCTGCTGATTCTGCTGTTTCCCCATTCGGTTGTCTCCAGCAGGGGGTATGACATCCCTTTGGTAACTATAGGGGTATACGTTGTCTGCACCGAGTGGTGCCTCCTCTACTGTGACGTCCTTAAAGGGGTAATCACTATTCACGTTGTGCGTCTCTCCGTCGCTGACACGGGTGCATTGTCGCGAGTGGGTCGCTGGCCCCCGGGGGAGGATCATTGGACTGTTCCGATTGAAGTGCACATTACTGTTCGGAGTGAAGGGCGCATTACTGTTTGGGTTCAGAATCGCACTACTGTGCATGCTACCCTGTGTGTACAGTCTCGGATAAAGATCACCGCCATTAAATGGTGCTCTCCCCATGGGTGAGTCCCGCATTGGTGCCTTCCCCTTCGCGACGCTCGCAGGGATAGTCCTGTTAAAATATATTTCTCCAGTGGATGACTCCCCTTTGATCACTCCACGTGGAAGACTCCAACTATGTGCTCTCTCTTCAAACTTCAACTCATCGAAGTGTGCCGCGTTCACATCTGCGTCTCGGATCACCTGACTGTCTTCCTCTGCCATGGGTTCTGTTTTTACACGGGCATTAATACACTGTATATTGTTTGCAAAGGAGCCTTCTAACCCCAAGTGGGAAGAGCCATTATTGTATACCTCCACATGTAAGACATCCATCTGATTCGACAACGAGGAGGAGTGACCCCCCGAGTATGTTTCGCAGAAATGGGTAAGCCCCATGGGACGCTCACAGATGTAACTAGGGAACGTGTCTCTGTTAGCAATGGGATGGATCCCTTCATACTTCACTGTGGAATAGTCTCCATAAGGTTTCGCGTCTGCATCTTCGGGAGGACCCCCTTCCTGATTTGACTCTGTATAGAGTGGTGTCACGTGAAGGGGCAGATCGAGAGGGGCTTCTTCCTCACCATTAGGGCAAGCCATATTATTAAAAGAGGGATCATTCCATCTGCTGACTAGATCTGTCTTCTTACGAATGGAAAAGATCCGCTGACCTGTTCCTGTACAGGGGGGCCCCTCTCCTATCACTGCTACTCCCTCACTATGAGCAGCACTTGAATTGTCTTCTCTTCTGAGTTCTCTCAACCTGCACGATGCGAAATAGTCCATTCGTTCATCATTCCAGTCTGTCGTCTGTATGTTCCTCCCAGCGGCAACGCTGCCCACACTGGCATCGCTCACTCGGCTTGATGACACATACAGGCTTTTTCCCCCCGTGCCGCCATCCCCCCTGCTGTTTTGACCGTAGTGGAGATGCAGTCCATCTGTGCAGCTTCGATTCACTTCCTCATTGTAATCGTCACGGTTATCTTCATTTTCGCTGCCATTTTGACTGTCACTTCGATTTTCATTTTCCTCATCATTTTGTATTCCCTCTCCATGCAACTCTGCATTGTAGAAGAGGCTCCCTTCTATGGGAGGTCCATAAGTGTCTGAAAAACTCTCGTGGAAGGCACCTCCATTCACTGCACTGTAACTTATTTGGCTACTTTCCCTGGCCAAAGGATCCGTTCCTAGAATCGCCTGACTGTTCAGATGAAATTCCCTTCTGGAGTCTTCGTTCCCGCGGGGGAAGTCTCCGCGGGTGAACTCTCCCTCGTGGGGGTATCCGTCGTGGTCAATGCCTGCCTGCTGAGATGGGGAGGACCCGTTGGCAGCACACTCGTTCGCAGCACACCCGTTTAGGAAAAACCCATTTAGAAAGACCCCATTTGGAGAAACTCCACTCCGCAGACTCCCGTTGCCGACGATGCTCCCCCCCGGAATCTTCACCTCCGAGATGACGTTGCCTAAAAGGGCTCCGCTTAAAACCTCCTCTTGCAAAATGTCGCCAGTTAAAACCTCGTCTTGCAAAATGTCGCTGCTTAAAACTTCGTTCTGCAAAATGTCGCTGCTCAGGAGTGCCCGTTTCAAAATGTGATCAATCATGAGGTTGTCTGGCTTGTCCCCATTTGAGTGGTCCCTACCTCCGCATTCCAAAACGGATGGCAACATTCCTCCATTCACATCATTATATCTGAGTATCTCATTCTTTTGGAGGAAATCCCCCTGATGGTGATCTCCAATAAAGGGTTGATCCCTTTGACTACTCCGGAGCATATGCATGTATAGTCCTTCCGAGGAGGTCTGTTCTGTCCCCAGATTCATCGCACTTCGATCGTTGTCTGTATCGTCCATGGTAGTTTCTTCACAAAAGGGACCCAAATTGTTGTCCGCGTCATTCACGTAATCAAAGTGGTTTGTCGGCACGTAGCAGTGTTTCTCATCGAAAAAACGGCTCGTGTTTGCATACTGGGTAGAGATGAACTGCTTCGGATGACAATCTGGTGTGTTCTTCTTCCCATTTAGATAGATGTGCATGATATTATTCGGCACTGTGTCACTCGCGTTTGCAAGCGAATGATTGTCTCCCTTCACATGGAGAATGTAACCGTTGGGTTGCACTCCACTTTGGAGACTCCCCCTTTGGAGAGTCTTCCTTTGCGCCATTTGATTGCTCGTCACCACACCGCTGTGTGCACCTGTTCTTTCTTTCGCTTCGCCTACTTCTTCCACTTCTGCCCCTTCTCCCCTTCCGTAGCTGCCTTCGTTGGACGTTCCATTCCTGATGAGCAGTTCATTCATGTGACCACTTGTCTCGTTTGTGTGCACGTAGGCAGACATGACCCCCTCTCTCACGGATGTCACCATTCTCATCGGCTGGGGCGACAAAAAGGGGAACCCCTTCAAGGCAGGCACCTGTCCAACCGTATGGGCTCAAAAAAAAGAAGAAAAAGAGAAAAAAAAAAAAAACCCAAACGAAGGAATTACAGGATGTAAAAATGTGGTCACTTCTATGGCTTCAATTAGTATGGTGAGGCGGTGAGGAGAAGAGCCACGTCCGTATGTAGAATGATGCGTTTCTCCTCCCTATTTTGTTTATTTTCTCTATTTTCTCTATTTCTTGTATCTTTTTCTTTTCCTTTTTTCCTTCCCGCCATGCGATTACGCAAGAGTGACAGTTCGTGGTGGCTGATGAGTGGAAATGATTTTGCTCCTCTTCACTGACAGGACGGATCAGCACGTAATCAGTTAGTTAATCGAAATGGAGAAGACGAGAAAGGAGAAGGACTATACCTATGTATGTGTTCCTGTGTGGGGGGTGAAATCCTCCTATTAATAAATCAATTAAGATACAAGTTGACTGGGGGTGGAGACACTTCCGAGGTCACGCTGAGCATGTGATGCTACAGCTCGAGATGGGTTCCCTCGTCAGCATGGACGAACCAACGCGCGCTGGATTGGTACACTCTGACTTCGAATTAATTAGATCCTACTGGGGCGACGCGAAGAAAATTTCTTCTCCCTCCGGGTAGGTAAAACGTATTCCACATCCCTCCTAAGAAGACAAAACGGAGAAGCTTCAACCAGTCGCGCGTGCCCCCTTCGCCGCTAAGTAAGCACATCACACTTCAGTGGGGGCGATAACTGGGGGTCCACGCGGGGAAGGGGCAATGAAAAAGGCACAATTGGGAGGGGCAATGAAAAAGGCACAATTGGGAGGGGAAATGGAGTGGCTAATCGGGAGGCTAATCGGGTGGCTAATCGGGTGGCTAATCGGGTGGCTAATCGGGTGGCTAATCGAGTGGCTAATCGAGTGGACACTGTAGGGATGAAAGTTCGAGACAAGGATGACCACACAGAGGGACAGACAGATTGACAGACAAACAGATTGACAGACGGACACAAAGGTGAAGACATCCGGGACGTCGCTTCGGATGCAAGTCCTCTCCGTCCACCGATTCTCTGAGGAAGGGAAAAGAGAAGCTACGAATGGAACGACGCGCACGCTACAAGGGGAATAACTACTTTGCGAAATGAACTACGCAGGAGATGGACTCGTCCATTTGACTCCCTTTGAGAGTGCTTCCACCGAAGGAACAGTCGTCCCGACAAATCGGATCATCCCGTGCAATGCCACTGATCACTTCTCGAGTACACGGGTGGATACATTAAAAAAGGGGAAAAGACAAAAATGGAAAAGGTGCAGGTGGAGATAGACAATGTTTTTGCCAATGGAATCGACGCCCTGGAGTATCGGTCACTTCATATAGACAGTGAACGTTGTCCATGTGTGTGTGGGGCACTCAATACAGGGGATGCACAACGGCATGCACTTCTCTGGAGAGCCCCTCAGTTTGTTAATCGGGCACGTGCATTTGTACTGGTATCTGTAGTCGCAGCTGTATCCGTACGTGTAGCTCTTCTTGTGCCTATATTTGTTATTCCACTTCTACTTCTCTATGTGGTTACGTCTTTCCCTCTTAATGGCTGTATACCACTGGAGGGAAAAAACAAGGTGGGAGAAAAAAAAAAAAAAAAAAAAAAAAGATGGAGAAAAAGATGACCAAGAGGACGAAGACGAAAATACAACTGAGGTAACAAAACATCCACAGAGGAGGGGAGGAAAAAAAAAAACACGTGCTTCATATAAGCAGTTGTCACCAGGTGGAGGGATGGAACGAAAGCGTCCATTTGTAGCTCCAACCTCTCGGGTGCAGGAGCAGGGGTGTACGCGGTGCTCTCTATACCGTGTGAATGTCGCACGCATGTGACTCCCTTACAGAGTGCAAGCACAAACAACGAAAGTCGAAGGGGAACCACTCCCCGGGAGGCTCTCATATACCTTATGCATGCAACAAGGTCAGAAACAATGTATCACATTCGCTAGTCACTCCAAGTAGGGAAGTTCCTTCTGGAGTAACCCCACAGGTAGGGACGTGCACTGCTTCGGATAGCTAGCTACTCCTTCTAATTGCGGAGGAGTGGGTGGCATGTGTACATCTGTGCTCTGGTGTAGAAGTGGGTAGGCAACGAGGAGGAGATGCAAGGGGGAGTGACTGTACAAAGGATGACTATGAAATGGGGGACTGTACAACGGATGGCTAATACAACGGATTCGCTCCTCATGTGTGTTTTTTTTCGGAAGAGTCAAGCATACCCATTTCACGAGTGTGAGCAGGGTGCGAATGCCAAGGGAGAGGCAAACGGAGTTAAAAAGAGAAGCCGTCGTTACAAAAGGGGACATCTCCTTTGAGCGATGCCGAATCATTCATCTTAGGGGTGATGGACAGAAGGTGAAAGGGAGGGGGGCACACATCGCATGCAGTTAATAAGAAGGCGTCACGGTGGAGGGAGAAGCAAAGCGCGATGTGTTAAAGCGTAGGACATGAGTAAAGTGATTCTTTACATGAGCTTCGCACGTTTCGTATGGTTCACTTTATCATTCGCTTCTCGTTCGCTTCACATTCGCTTCCCGTTCGCTTCACATTCGCTTCCCGTTCGCTTCACATTCGCATCACTTTGGAGAAACCGCGCGGATAGACATTTGCTCTTTTTTCATACATGGTCAAACGGGTGGGAAATTAAAAGGGCGAATGGCTGAGTCGTTATGAATCCAAGGGGAGGATGGAAAAGTGAATCGGGACACATACATATGCTAAAGAAACATTCGCGCAGAAATACCTCCAAGGACTGAAAATCAATTAGTCGCTAGAGAAACATGCGCGTATACAAGTGTCCTCCTGAATGTATGCACATTTGGACTAAGGGACACAGTACGCACCTATGCATGCATTTTTTTTTTTCGGGCCACGTGGAGAAGAAGCTGCAAAATGGCGACGTGGAGAAAACTGCACAATGGCGAGGTGGAAGAACCTGCACAACGGCGATGTAGATAGCATGGGGGGAGGAAAAAAAATGCATCCATGAAGCTCCAAGACTATCACTCGTGCATGTGTACTCATGTGTAGAGTACCCCCGCGCACGCAGGGGCACACGCGCCAAGTACGCAGAAAGGAGAAAAAAAAAAAAAAAAAAAAAAGAAATATCATAAGGTGAGATGTAGTTAAATGGCTAACCAGGGGAAAAACATTTTTACACATACATATATGCATATATATATGTATGTATGTATTTTTTTTTTTTCAACTTGCCACTGTGTGTACTCCTCTTTGTAGGGGGGCCTCTCATCGGAGAGCACTATCGTCTTTACATGGGCACGTAGAGGGGGAAAAACGGCATACGAGAAAGGAGCAGAGGTTCGGGGCACGGTATGCTCGCCACACCTCGGCAAACGAGCAAAAGGAAAAGAAAAAAAAAGGCAAGCGCGACAAAAAAGAATTTCTGGAAAAGTGGGACAACCTGCGGAAATGCAAAGCAGTAAGTAACGCGCGACAGATGTAGTGTAACAAAAGAGAAACCCGCCAAAGAGAGAGAGAAAAAAAAACACTCAACAGAAGAGACTACACAGCGTTTTTTCCCATTTCGCACACATTGAAAAGTCTTAACTCCGCTCGCAAAATGCTGCCACTCGTACCATTGAAAGTGTATGCTTAAAAATAAAATTCCAGAGTTTTTTTTTTTTTAATTTCCTCGATGAAATAGAATGACACTTCACCCATGCGCAAGAAAAAGAAAATCGGCACCATGGATTAATTTGTGCCCGTCTCCATTTGCTGTTTCGCCTTTTTCTGATGATTTCATTTTGGTTCCTTATCCCTTCACCATTTGGCCCTTTTCTTTTTTTCCTTTTTTTATTTCTTTTTGGGACTCCCTTGTCGATGGATTCGTGGGGCCCTTCCTTTGAGCGGTTGGCGGCTGCGGTTCGCTTAACAGTTCGGTTGCCAATTCGGTTGGAAGTTCAATCGCCGCCTCTCCCGTCGTTTCCCCCTAGTCCTTTCCCCCTTGCCGATTTCCTTTCGAACCACTCGAGGGAGCCTTTTTTCCTGCGCACACCCCGTACAGGGCAATTCCGGTAGATTAATGTGACGAGTCCCTTTTACGAATCGCATGCACTAGCATGTGTATTCTGGGGCTGGATCCACAAACCGCTCTTGCCTTGGCATGTCGTCGTGAGCGCCCCCCTCCCCTAACCGTCCTTGCTTCTTATCAGTGACATATTTCCTTTGGCAACTTTTTCCCCCTCCCCTCCTCCCACGCGAATTCGCATCTTCGAAGGTACCCTCGGCGTCAAAGAAATGGTTAACCCTTCTCGACCGGGTGGTTGCATTAGCAAAGTTGTTCATCGTGAGCATGTACATAGGTGAGCAGCACACCCAAGGAAGAAAAAAAGGGAAAAAAAAAAAAAAAACAAAAAAGGCAAACCGATTAAGTAATTGCCCAAACGTGGGAAAATCCCCTGTGTATGATTAACGGCGCAATAGATCGATTCTGACCTGTTTTTTTTTTTTTTATTTTTTTTTTTTTTGCTCCCCGCGAGAAATGCCGAACCGGAGGGGAAAGGCACAAATTAATTTCACCCCCCTTGATGGGGAAATAAAGTGGAATACTCCATGCACAGATCACCTACACATACACACGACCCTCCTTTACTATTCTACGTAAAGTCAAATGAGCATTTATTTTCCCACTGAGGAGGTACTCATGGTGGCACTTCCCCTCACAGTGGGGTGCATTGGGTGCATTTGCGCTCGTGAGCAGAGATCCGGAGTGGCGGGTGTAAGCCTTATGTCTACGCGGGACAAATGCAGTGCGACTTGCACGTGGGCGCTCTCAAAATTGAACTTGTTGGCCCGACCCAGTTGCCACCGCACAGCCGTATGCACATGAGTATGGCGTTCATATTTGAATGCTTCTCTGCATACTACCTGCGTGCGTCTGCTATTTTGCACATTTCGGGGAAGGTCAAACTCGGGCACGTCGGTTCGCCCCGCAGCTCCGCAGATCGGTAGCCCTCGTAACTCCTCCGCTCTGTTCTGCCCCAGGTTGGCTTCTCTACTTATTTCTTCATCTGATCTGCACATTGTGCCGTTCATTGATGCATAGGAAAAAAAGAAAAAAAAAAAAAGCGAGTCGAAAAGGGCCCCGCTCGGCAGGGTCATGCTCATCGCAGTAACGCGCATCGTTGGAACCCCCACACGGGGTGCTTTCTTCGCTTGTTCGCCTAGTGCACAGGGACCAATTCGCATAAGTGCGCCTCCTAAACTGTCGTATTCGCCGGGGTCACCCTTGAAAATGGTGGAAGGAGGGAAGCAGGACAGCAGCGCAGCACAGCACCGCTCAACAAAATTGAGAAAAACACTTTCTCCGTTTCGCCCCCTCGTCGAAGTGAAATCATCACTAAGGGACGATCTTGGAGGGGTTCCTTTGAATAGGACACCACCCAGGTGGTCGTCTTAAAGGGATTTTCCCCTAAGCTGGCCCTCCCGCGTGCAGACGTTTTTTTTTTTTTTTTAATCCTCCTCCGAGTATTGGCGACATTGAGTTGGTCAGATGATCTGGGAGGAGGTCTCCAGAGGTGATATAAAATGAGTAAAGAACGGGGCAAGGCAAAAACATACACTTGAAGTGGATACACAAAAGAATGTCACGAAGCCACATTGTGTGTAAAGGGCTGCCCCAACAAATTGGGGATGGGGGTTCATTTCATCTTAGCCATTTTGCACACGTCTGTTCCCTACGTTGCTACTCCACACAGTTGAGTGAAGAAAAGGAAAATGCTGATCTGTTGCTTTTTAGATGGTTCATCTGGGACTAACTCGAAGTGGCCAATCGGAGTCATCCCCAAAGAAGCCTACCCCCTTGCTGCCCCGAAATGGGAACAACGGGGGGAGGCTCCCCCCAAACGGCCTGCAAAACTTCCTCCGCTGCTTCAAATTTGTCTTGTAAAAAAAAAAAAAAATCATTTCGGAACGTTGCTAGGCTAAGTGTCATTTTGTAGGACTATCCAGAGGGGACCTACAATGCTACAAAATTGTGCACTTGGGTTTCGCTTAAAGTCAGTTTTGAGAATTGCGAAGGGGGAAAAGAACATATGACATATTAGTATTGCGTTTTTTTTTCTCTTTTTTCCCCATCGCGTAAAGCATTTTGGGATACATTTTGCACACGAGGGGGATGAGCTCATCCAGGCGCAGCGCTCGGGCAGAGAGTCGAGCGGAGAGAAGGGCTCTGCCAGATCGACCGTGCCAGACGGGTGAGGCGAAGCAGGTGAAGCGAAAGAGGTGAGGCGCCACAGATGAACCGCTCAAGCGCTATAATCTACTTTAAAGATCTCGGGGTGAGGAACCCCCCTCCCCGATGGGGCTTCAAATCGGGCAGCGCCTGCTTCAAGGGCATCCTCTGGGGAGGGACAAACGTGCAAGGGAAGAGATCCGGAGCGACCCTGGGACAGCTGATTGACAGGAGGAAGAACGAGTTAGACCTTTCCGCTAGTGAAGAAGTAATTCGAAGGTACAAGAGAGCAAACATAAGGAAAATACTCAAGGGGGGAACAAAACCGGCAGAGTTGCAACAGGGTGCAAGTGAACAGAGTCGCACTCAACAGGGTGGCAGTCAACGGGATGGGGCAGGAGAGACGGAGTGCCATCCAGCGGAACCACCCCATATGATGCGCTCCCCCGTTCAGCTTCCCAACTCAGAGAAAAAAGGCACCGTTCGTGGGGACAACAAAACACTGCAGCGTTACCCATCGATGATTAGCAAAGGCATGCTTGACGCAGACACAAGAGGATTACACAGAAGAGACGACAAAGAAGCTGCACAGGACGAACATGCCAAAGATGCGGTGGATAAATTATTCACCTCAAGGGAAAAGAAGAAACACCTCATGAGGAGAATCATTTTTAAAAGTTGCCACGATTATTTGGAGCTTATTGACAAACATGAAGAAGAAAGGGGTAGGGACGATGATAAGTTTTATAATTGCCTGAACAGTGCAGGTAAAAATGGGGATACGTCTTTCAACAGGGAGGGGAAAATCCAAGCCGAGGGAGAGACCCCCCCAGGTAGTAGTGGTAGCAGTGGTAGCAGTGGTGGCAGTGGTAGTAGTGGTAGCAGAGGTAGTAGTAGTACTCCTCCAATCGATGATGGGTACCTATTCGAGGTGGATAATGATCCGAGCAGTGACGCGAATGTGAACGTCGGTTTGGCCCTTCCAATGGAACATCCCAGACTGAACGTTTCGATTTTCTCAGAGGTAGGCAAAAAAGACATCCTCGAATCATGCAAAAGGAGAAGGAACATGCAAAGCGAAATCAACAAGAATAGTGATGCCAGGAATATGTTTAATAGGGATATTTATTTTTGGCTGAAGCGGAAGGTGCACAGGTCCGTCGGGTGGCAGCTGACCCCGGGCAATTTGAACAGAGGCGAGGAGGTCATCGACGTGACGGAGCTCACGTGCGCCGCGGGCCATGGCCTAGAGGGGGGATCCCCCCCGGGGGTGCAGTCTGAGGCGGGCGCAGCGGCGGTCCCCAATCTGGGCGGCAATTTGGGCGGCAACGCGATTGGCAACGTGAATGGCAGCGGGAATGGCAACGTGAGTGGCAGCGGGAATGGCAACGTGAATGGCAACGTAAATGCCAGTGTTCACGGCGAGGCCGACCGCAGCATGGATCAGATTATCGCAGAGGAGATGGCCGCGCCAAAGTTGCTGAGGCCAGGCCAGGGGAAGGACCCCCCCAGGGGGACCTACCTGCAGAGGAGGGCGGCACCGCTCCACTTTTTGAGCAGGCTTAGCAGGAAAGGGGCGGATAGTCCCCCCAAGGAGAACAGCCAGGAGGGCAGCCAGGAGAGAAGCCAAGATAGCAGACAGGAGAATACACAGGAGAGCAATCAGGGGAGCAACCAATCGAGCCGCCAACCAGGTGGCCCCACAGAGGCATACCAAGGCATCGTGGACAACAGCACGAACATCTTCAAGCAGATACGAGATAACTATGAGCTATTCAAAGAAAGAAACCTTTCGCCGAACCTCCTCGAGAGCTGCGAAAAGTACATCAATTATTACTATGGAATAGAGAAGGAGGAAAAAATTAAAGAACTGGAAAAGTATCTGCATCTAAATTTTTACGACATGGTAAAGGAAGGACACTACACCATGGATGATTATAATCGTCTGCTAAAAAGCCAAATCTTTTTTAACAAAGAAGAAGAAGCATTTCGCCATTTCAATCTCTTTAAGCAGCATGACCTCAGAGTGAACGTTGAGACGTATAACTGCTTGATGTATGCCTCCATTATGCATAAGAATGCAAAATTGGGGAGACTAATTTATCTACAAATGATAAAAGACGCTGTGAATCCGAACAAACATACCTATTGCATTTTGATGAAGGCTCACATCTTGGATAATGACATTCGAAGTGCCTTCCACCTGTACAGGAAAATGATAAAAGAAGATATAGAGGTCGACTTACCCGTCTATTCTACCCTCATTGATGGTCTGCTAAAACACAAGCACTATGAAAGAGCGGAATCATTCTTCAATTACATCGTTACGTATAGAAATGTCACCCCTGATGAGGTCCTATACACCATTATGATTAAGAAGTGCGCCTACAAGGGAGAGGCTGAGAAGTGCCTCAATTTTTATGACGCCATGGTCAGTAACCATATGAAGGTTACCGACATAACTCTCATTGAGATTATCAACTGCCTTTCAAAGAGGAGAGATTACTTCTCTCAGGTGTTCCATTTTTACAACACCTACTTGGCCAACGAAATGAGGGTTAACCATCGATTGGTGCTGTACTTGATCGTGGCCTGTTCCAGTACAGGGAATGTGAAGCGGCTGAAGGAGGTCTTGAAGAGTGCAAATCGGCACCGAGTTCGCATCACGGAGGAGATGTGCTGCTACATCATACGTACCTTTGCGAACAACTGCCGGCGGGAAGGCATCACGCTGGGTGAGCGCCACAACAACATCCGCTACGCCTGGGCGGTGGTCCAAGAGCTGCTGCGTAGAGGGGGAGAAGCGGTGGGGGCAGTGAGAGCGGCGGAAGAAGCTGTTGTAGACAGGGCATCAAGTGCAATGAATGCTGGGGGCGGTAGCCCAATTGGTGTTAGTACGACTAGTGGTGGAGCAGCCAATCCACCCCGCGTTAACACCCCCCACGATGGAGGAGTCACTCCCCTCCGCAGCGGCACGAAGATACTAAACAGCATCGTGCAGTTGTACATAAACTGCGATTACCACGACTACGCCATCAGCATGCTGAAATACTACACCCAATTTGAGTGCCTCCCGGATGTCTACACCTTCGGATTACTCTATAAGCTTCTGTTCTACAAAATGGAGGACTATGGACGGGTTCTTTGTCTCTACGATTACATGGTGAATCAGACGGGAGTCAAAGCAGATGAGAAGACCCTAAACCTGGTTCTCCGTGCAGCCATCAAAACGAAGTCTTCAAAAAGTACTCTCTATGTTCTACGCCAGATGTACACAGCGAAGGTGTACCCCACAGCGAAGACGATAAAAGAGCTGTTCCATGTCGGCCGACACATAACGGACATACAGATTCTTATTAACAATATGATATCGCAGCAGAAGCGGGAAATCTATGAAGAAAATGTGAAGGAGAGTCAACTGATTCAACTGAATATTGATGAGTATGAGTTGAATCTGTTTCGGGAGGGGAAGACGTTCAGAACCAAGTCTCAGCTGGACCAAGTAAGGGAGCAATTCTTTAGGAGGAAGGAGCGCGTCGAGAAGGAGAAGCGCATGTCCAAAGGGAAGAAGTCCTCTGACTGGCTGCCCTACGGCCAATATCTGCAGCGCAAGCGCAAGGGCGGCGAGGCCTACGCACAACGGGTGGACCGCCCGAAGCCGCTACCTATTGGTTAGGGTTCCCGCTGTGCCTCCGTATAGTGGATGCCCTGTTAGCAATTTTCACCGATGCGTCACCCCTGTGGCAGAGGGCCATCCGTTAATGCCTGTCCCGTGACCGATTGCACCACGGGAATTTTTTGCACCGGCCGGAGAAACTCCAACCTGGGGAAGGCGTACTCGAAATCGTAGCTACTGGGTGGCCTCTGCTGCGTGGCTGCTAATGGGGGAGCCCGGCTCGAAACAACAGAAGAGGCGTCTTCAAAACGGGGATCAACTTCGCTCCAAGGCGAGTGTGTTTGGAAAAATGGGTTTAGTTAGCAGAAGAGGTGCAGCATGGGCCGAGAGTGGCAACATAGGGAGACCCCCAAGGGGGGAAAAATGTACAAAAAAAAGAAGAAAAAAAAAAAAAGTCAGGCGGCACCGCGTCCATGTGAGTCCCGCTTTTTTTTCTCTTTCACTTCAACATGGGTAAGGTAGCCGTAACGTGGCCCACTTGACCGATTGACCGATTGACCGCTTGGCCCACTTAACTCGGTGCAGCTAGCTCGTTCCCATGTCGCTCATCAGATTGTTATCCATCAGATGGATGACGTACGAGTTGGCGATGTTGGCTAGGGCGATGGCCAGGAAGAAGCCAACGGCGAATATGTCGCTTGTGTAGAAGAGAAGGAAGATTTTTAGTAGGCAGAGGACGACGTCCAGGTAGAGGAGTTTCCTGCAAAGGGGGGAAGCAATGGGTGCGGGGAAGCGTGGAAGCAATCGTTTAGACGAAGCAATCGGTGAGGGGAAGCACTCGATACGGGGGGATATCCCTACCAGACGAAAAACACCAGGGTGAAGCTCATGTGCTCGTAAATGCTGTGCGCGGAGAGGAACTTCTGCAAAAGGGGGGAAGGCGGGAAGGCGACATGGAAGCAAGGCGGCGTGGAAGTAAGGCGGAGTGGAAGTAAGGCGGCTTGCGGGCAAATCACTGTGGTAGGTTAAAAGTTGATCCCATTTCACGTGCATGCAGCTGTTTCTCTGTGTGTGGGGGACGAGGAGTGACCGCCCGTAACTACGGCCAGATTGAAGATTCTATATGACACCACCCCATGGGGGATATACACAACACACACAGGTTGGCACTGCTTCTGCTGCCACTTACGCTTTTCATTATATTCAAAATACGGTAGTGGGAGAGGAAGGAGGACATGTCGGCGATGATCTGGACATATGATGGACGGAGAGCCTTTTCGCAGTCTTCCTTCGGGTGTCGCATTTTTGTATTAGTCTGAAAATGTCGGTCTGTCTGTTTGCTCTTTTTCTTCTTTTCCCTCACCCTGCTTAGCGGCACCGTGTGTATGTCTATACACTTGGTGGGAACTCTCCCTGTGTGTACCATCACCCGCTTGATGTCTTCCGAATCAGACTCACGAAGCATCTTCAACATGTCTTTGCTCCCGTTGGAGGAGACGCCCTGGTTGTAGGCGAAGCTCCAGCTGTTGTAAGTGACGTATTTATTAAAGAAAATCTTCGGCTTCCGTGGGTTCACCACTTGGTTGCTTCCCCTCATGGAGATCATCCCTCTGAGCAGTCCTATTAATAGGTGAGAAATGTGCAGTGCATATGGTTAGGCGGGGAGGAAAAGCGGGTGTGTGGAAGAGGCGCGCCAGGTACGCGGCAGATACGCGGCAGATGAGCGGAAAACGCGTGACAAACCCGCTTCCGCTCTCACTTCGCCTCTCACTTTTGATCCACTTCCGCAACCGCGCATAGAAGAAAGCGAGGAGCCACGTCCAACGCGACGCGCCCTTTCTATACGACCGCGATAGACTCCTCCTGTGTATGCTAAACAGAGCTCGGATCATCACGATGGAAAATCTTATCAGCATCCCGAAGTGGACCAAATAATATGCATAAATAAACAAACAAACAGAAAATAACTTCCGGCTATAATCATACACATAGAAGAGGAAAAGTAAATCAAAAAATATATTTAGCTGATTAACAAAGCCGGAGATGATTAGGAAGATATCGTATCGGTCGCTCTCTATTGTGTAGTTATTGTTTTCGTACTGAATGTACTTCATGAGCTCTACATTGATGCTGTCGTTAACATCTTTGAGCTGATCGAGGTGATAAAACTTTTCCTCGTCCGGGGGTGGTGATGGTATCCTTTTGCCCCTTGCTCGTCTTCTTCCCTCTTCGCAGTGGTTTGCCTCTCGCTTCCGCTCCCACTGCTGCTCCTGCTCCTCCTCCACAAGGTAGTACTTCTGACTGATGAATAGTTTTTTTTTTTCCTTCTCCTTCGCCTTGTTTGCCTTGTCTGCTCGTGGGGGAGCCTTGGCTTTTTTTCGCGGTGACTCCCGGGGGGCGTCGCATTTTCCAGGCTCATTGCTGATGGGTGCGCTGCTAGTCAGTGTGTCGCTGGTCTGCGCACTGCTGGACGGCGCGCGACTCCCCCCGGGGGGTGGGCCCAGGAAGCGCCCATAGATCCTCTTCCGAACCTCCTTTATGTTGTACCGTCTGACCAATTCATACTTTATTGTGTTACTTACAATCAGGTCGATATAGAAAAAGACGAAGATGTAGATATAAATAACGAGGATAATCGTTTTGTTCAGCTCTGTCCTAAAGCTAGTGAGTACCAGGATGGTGAGGGTGACGTAAACGAAAAAAAAAAGGAACGTACTCAGGAGGTAGTACACACAAATCTGAATGAAGTGCTTCTTATTAATGATGTATGGAGAGGAGCAGTGCTTTATCACGCTGCCATGTAGGCCCAGTTCTGTAATTTCTGCCTCCGTTAGGATCTGCGAAATTAGGGAGTTGCCGCTCATGGTGTCGCAGAGGAAGTCATTAGGGGTAAGGTGCAAGGAACTGGAGAGCAAATCAGTGGAAAGCAATCCAATGGAGAGGAAGTCAGTAGAAAGCAATCCAGTGGAGAGGAAGTCAGTGCAAACCAATCCACGGATCTGTCACATCAGGGGGCACCCACTCGGGGAAAAATAAAAAACAAAAAAATAAAAAACAAAAAAATAACAAACAAAAAAATAAAAAATAAATAGAAAAAAATCAAAAATCAAGAAATGAAGCAATAGCAAATCGAAAGAACCCCTTTCGCAAAACCATCAGTAGAAGTCACACATCCCCTTAGCTCGCAAGAACGAACAGTTGTGTTTCTCCTCGCTGCTCAGCTGGCATGCAGAGGGGAAAAAACAACAAAAAAAAAAAAAAATCCCCTTGGATGGCTACTCAAAGGAGGGACTCGTGAAAGTAGCACGTGACTCATGTTACAATCGCTGCTAAGCAGATAGGCAGACCGCTCCACGTGGAGAGCACGTGCGAAGGGGTACAGGTGAGAGCATCCATAGCAGATTGCCTTCCAGGGGAGCACTCAGTCTGGCAACTGCCAAGGTACGATTCCTTGTGCTGCTCTTAATTCTTGTTACATAATGGAAAGAAAATAAAAAAAAAAAAAATGCCACTCTCCACTGGGTGACGCTTCCTCTTCCGTGCGTATCATGTTAGTTGACGCCTCGCCAGACCAAGTCTCCACTGCACCGCACTGCGCGTATGCCTCGCGTCATGTAGGTTTCCCTCCCCTGGTTGATGGGAGCTCCACAGAGGAAGTGGGACCTCCTCCCGCGTGCAATACTGTGAGCGGATAGCGACCCATGTGCGTTCACGTACATAACAGCTGGGAAAACTGTAAAAA